CTTTTCAGCAAATCGAAATTATATTCTGTTCTTGAATCTTTTAATTTGCCAGCCTCACCGTCATGTGTCATTTTGAACAACTTTCGTACTGACAGCTTCGCAATGATTGCAAAGCATTCTCATTATTATAAAAAGGGCACATAAAGGTTTCCTCGATTGTTTGAACTATGACGTAAGTTTTCACGCAATTCTGTGGGGTGCCTTACCATAATAGTTGTTGCTGTGAGGTAATCACTCAAACCACATGACGCAATACAAGGGCGGCCCTCTACGGAGAAAAGCGTGGCGTGACGTAACAAACAACTGCTGGAGCAGATAAGACCTGATAACGGGTCCTGACCCTTGTCCCGACTTTCGTATGTTTTTGATCCGATTAATCAACAAATAAATCAATTGAAAATAATTATACTCATTGATTAATTAATTAGCTTGTCCATATTTTCTTATTTATCGAACAGTGTACAAATAAGTGTCGTCAGTTATTCTTTTGGCCCTCCTTTTGACGTTCGGTTACATCATATGGTTGCTCATTACTAGAAGAAATTAACATGTGTCACTTCTTTTATTAGGTTAAAGTCATTCTAAAGTACTAGATTCCCAGGTCTTTGATATATGCAGCTCGTATTTCACACGCGGAGAAAATAATCGAATAGATAAGGTCCTCCGGATTCCGTTTTATAAAGCTTTAAATTGTAGAAATCTTGGCGTAAGTTAGTAAGACAATTTCATATAAAGAAACCAATTAATCAAGTAAAGTGGTTTTTGCACATGTTATTGTGATATGATAACCTCTACTGAGTGATAAAAAAAAAAATGACCCTCGCTTGTTCAGGTATATACATAGACATTGATGTGGATCGGATAGATCACAGGTACTGTACGAGCTTAATAACTTAGCGCTGTATATGTTATAATAGAAGCTTAAAACTTATTTTTTTATTTAACTGGTAGCCAGACTGTAGGCTCTTCCCAGGCGTTGTGTGCTCCTTCTTTTCAATCCCAGCAGTTGCGCATGGGCTTTAAACTTTCTGGATACTTCCACACAGACCATAATGCATCTGTTTGCCCAGCCCCAAATTTTGCATAACCTTTGTCTTCGATTTCTCTTCATCCAGGGGCGGATCTAGGATTTTTTTAGGAGGGGGTGCACTCGTCTCTTGCTCTACTTCAACACCAATAAACCACATAGTTTTTTTTTTGCAGAACACCAGTTGTACTCGAAAACCGCAGGTCATCTCAGGGGAGGGGGGGTGCGCACTTTCTGCACCCTCCCCCTAGATCCGCCCCTGACATCTTATGTGAAATAAAGACCATTATTATCATCATTTAACCTGAATTCAACCTCGTAGACGCATTCAGTGACTTTCAGAAAAGCAGTGTTTCGGTTGTAAATGATTTACGGCAGTTTTCGAGGAGCTACTTGTGAGTACAGTTAATAATAAGAAAAAAAACAAAAGAAACCAATACTGCCTTACAGCCTTGCATGCAGTTTTCGATTTACAACAGGCCAGAACTTTCGCGCTCTACTGTTTACCTACCTAGTTCAGAACTTTGCATCCCTTTTAACTGTAGAAAGTTTTTTCTCGACTTTTTAACAGCCATAAAACGCATCTTCCAACCCTTTTGGGCCTTCTTATTTACCTGAATGACAGATTTTTCGGCTACCCTTTCACATAAGTGAAATCTTTATCCTTCTATATACCTAAAGCAAAACAAAATCACCCTTTCATTTCGGGCGGAGCCTCCCAGTAGCCAGCCATTATAGGGAGTACCCACCCCCCTCCCGGAGGGGGCAGTGTTTGGTCAATGACAGTCCTTTTTCAGCTTTTGGAAAACAAGACTAAACTCGACGAAATCGCTTTGTGTTACCAGCGATGACATTTTATAAAATAAAGCAATGCCGTTCTCGATCAAAATAGGCTGATTTAGCAATAGAACGGGAATGTCAGTTGACGACTGCGCGTACAAATCAAAGAACTGGCTTGATTAATGGTAGAGCTGCAAATTGCGCGACGGAAGTCGAATTTAGTCTTTTCCGCGCGCTTTCCCGTCGTCAAGGACGTTGGCCTGTTAAATTTAATTAAAAATTTAAAATTAAAAAAAAATTAAATTAATTTTATTTAAGCTCGATAGCGTGAGGAGTGGTTGCCCAATCTCCCAAGCCCGGGGCTCATGTATTAAACGCTCGAGCATTCCGGATCGAATTGGAATTTAGAAATGTTGGTTTTTGAGGAGAGGGGAAAACCGGAGTACCCGGAGAAAAACCTCTCGGAGCAGAGAAGAGAACCAACAACAAACTCAACCCACATATGACGTCGATTCCGGGAATCGAACCCGGGCCACATTGGTGGAAGGCGAGTGCTCTCACCACTGCGCCATCCCTGAGATACCGACACATATATCTTTACATGAAGCATACATGAAGTAAAAAACAACCAAATTGTCAAAGAGTACTGGGAACGAGTGCTTTGAAATACATGCAAGACGTTTTCTGGAAATTTTCTTCGCGCTGTCTACCCTCACAGGCTCAGGATAAATTCAAAGAAAACAAAAACCCAGTGTTTATCATATTTCTTGGTTTGAAAGACTATGATGGTCTTAAAGGCAGACGATCGCTGTCACGCTACAGTTCACAAGGGTCTGCAAACTTCGGTTTGAATCTCCTGCACGTGGGAATCCATGCAAAAGAAGTTGGTGTGTAGGCGGATAAGTTGTCCTTGATCGAAGGTAAGATCTTGAATGATGCTTATCGTTTTATATTTATATACTGGTGGTCATACCCGTTAAGAAAACACCAAAGAAAACATTAACAGTACATGTAACTCCCAATCAGTGTCAAAGAACCCCTGAAAGTCGCTGAAATCCTGTAATTCCGCCATATTTGACATACCTCTGAGATCTCCAATCTGGAGAGAAATGGAACTGTCAGGAGTAATAATCGACAGATTCCGGTAAATGTTGTGTTGTGATGAATTCACAATCACTCAACTCCAAATAATCTTCGATTCGATGTCGGGTCATTTTGTCGGGTTCGCGACCAAATAACATCGACCTTAGGCGCGAGAGGTCAGCGAACTTGGCACAGGCATCCCAAGCTTATGTTACAAGTGTGTTATACAAGAGAGTCGGTGTTACGTTACAAGCGACCGTTGAGACTCTTCATAAGAGAAATAAAATACTGAGGTCTGTGAAGGCTAAATATCATTATTTTTTACTTTTTTTCTACAAGGTAAATAAAGGAGACTTACCTTTGATGTATTAGCTTGTTTTTTGGTGTGGATTCATCGATTTAGTTGGTTCTTTAGCTGCTATTGCGTGAGCCCTGTCACTCTCGTCACACAATAGCAGCAAAAAAAACGACAAAATCGATGAATTCACACCAAAAAACACAGGAATACATCTCGGCCCTCAAATAAAGCAAATCCTGCATTCCATAAAACCAATTAGGGACCCTCCGTTATGGCTTAAATGCGGGGCTAGCATGTTAACTTCCCGGATGCCACGGGGAAGTTTTTGCGACATACTTGCATGTATACATGTAAAGAAAGCATGGATTCATCGTACTTGATTTTGGGTTATTTACACTTACGTAAGGTTGGAACAAAGTGACAGATTTTTTTTTAACAAGTTCGAGCGCCATGGTAACCTACACTGTGTCAAAAAATGAAAAAATGACCATAGCTTGTTCGGGTACATAGATATTGATGGAATTATTTATGAGATATTTTTAATACCAGCTAATCACTGTCACGTGCTGTCATGCAGTGTGTATGTCAATAACAGTAGCTGTAAGATTATTCATTGTTCACATGAACTGGCAGCCAGTGTAGGCTGTTTTAGAGAGGTCTGACTTGTTCCTTCTTGTCAGTCAATCCCACAGTTGTGTTTTGTGTTCTATAATAAGGCAGTCAGGAAATATGCATATAGAACCCTTGGGCCTATACAGGGAGGCTCCGCCCGAAAGGGGTACCTTTTTTCAGGCTTCAGGTATATGAAAGGGTAGTGACTTCACTACATACATGTAGCTGTAATATATGACAGGGTAGGAAATCTGTCATTTCAGTTGGTAAAAAGGCCAGAAAGGGCTAACAAATTCGTTTTATGGCTGTATATCTTTGTGGCCTTTTGGGGTGACTGAAGCCAGTCAATTGTTTATCATAGATCGAGCCAACAAGCTAGTACCGTCGACTCCCAATGACTCGAACCTTGTGCTAACTCGATCGGACTAAAATCTATTTCCCCTGGATTTCCTTCATACATTTACTGCAATTTCTCCCTTGGTAACTCGAACCCTCAATAACTCAAACTTCCCACTAAGTGGAAGTAATTTTTGTTTCCCTTCAGATCATTACAACTCAAACCATGTTTTTAGCGTGGTACAAGTTGGAAATATACTAAGACAGTGTACTACAGTCCCAAACATTGAACTGTGTATACAGTTCATCTGTGCTTTTTTGTCAGTCCAGTTTAAGTACAGTGTCCAGCCCTGTATATTAATATATATTCCTTTGTTAATGTCAATAGTACTTGCATTGCATTCCTTCGTCAAAGATAACTGTCTTGCCTTATTGAATATTCGGTTATTTTCGATAACATGACTGTTACAGGTTCAACTCCCTGCGGCAGGCTGACTGATAACGAGGCATAAGGTAAAGCAGATGATTTGAAGTCCCTTAAACTCAAAACCTGAACGCATATTTAAAATGAAATTAACCCTTTCACTCCCAAATTTAGCCAAAAGCAAATTTCGACCAAATTTCCAAATTTCATTTTGTGAAATTTTGTAAAACAAATAGCACTATGAAGTACAGGCAGAGAGCTTTCATCTGAATGGTCACATCATAGGATTTGGTCCGCAGAATCAAAAGTTATAGTCACCTTACAAAACTCCATCAAGCACTCTGGCAGTGATGGGGTTAAGAACGCTTGAACGAAAATTAGTCACCCTAACTCGAAAAGTAAACGTTCCGTTTTCTTCGTTTGCTTGCTTGCTTGTTTAATTATTTTTCATTTTGTTCACAAAGCTCCAAAATAGATACCTCTTCTTTATGTTCTGATCCCAGGGAAAGCGGAAAGATTTTCCTCGAATATATTTTGTACCTCCACTCAGTTTCTGCAACTACCTTGTCAAACAACTCTTTAGAACCAAAAGTTAAGGAAAATCCAAGCAAAACACAGCCTGAATCCTTTAGAAAGATCCTGGCTTGTGAAAGGAAACGGCGCAAGGCTTGGTACCCAGGATCAGTAAGACTGCGCATGAGCAATTCTACCTCGTTTCCGGGACTCGGGTGTTGGTCATCCCATGGACAATTCCAGTAGATCATGTCAATTTTTTTTCCAGCGATTTCCTTGTGGTCAAAGACGTCAGCAGCGACAGCTATCACTCGATCATCTACTCCATGCAACTTTGCATTTTCAACGGTGTTTTTTACAGCAGTGGGGTTGATGTCCGTCGCCCAGACTTTGCACTGGTGCGAAATCAGAGCAGCATTGATAGCTGTGTAACCTGCGCCACAACCTACTTCTAGAAAATTGAATGGGGCGTCTTCAAATTTCATCAACAGTTTCGTTTTGATCACTTCAATCACTTCTTTGTTGACGTAGGCTATAATCTCGTGCCAAGGATCTGGATGGAACACTTCAGGATAAACCAGAAATTCTTTCCCGAGAAAGCCTATTCGAGGTTTCTCCTTGGTTAAACGGCGCATATTTTCCACAGCTTCTTCTAAATCAGCCACTTGACATTTCCTCGTAGGCAAATCTTTGTTTACTGAGCTCATTTTATTACCACTCTGCAAGGAAAACGATTTCGTCATTGTGGTTGCGTGCCTAATTATTGCCATTAAAGGAGCTGTGTCACGAAATTGAGCCAAATTACATGTAGGAAATTACAAAATACCGGTTAAATTAAGAGAAACATAAAAATAACCGCTTAAAACTTTAAAGGAAGGTTTAAATAACATAACAGAAACAATGGATGCCACGGATGGACAAAACTGTAAAAGATTGACGGATTAAAATTAGGGTTTTTGAAAACTGTTCAGCCTAACAGTTTTTCAAAGTTGATCCCTGCTGCTTGCAACTTCAAAAATAATACTCAGGAGCATATTTGTTTATCTCGGATCCCTGATTTTGTCATTTACATGTAATTTCTTTGCTTACTTTAAGTTCCGTAGCGATTGAGGGCGAGTAATTGGCAAAATTAAACAAAATGAACTGGACTGCCGTGACACAGCCCCTTTAACGTCGATTTCAATTGCTTGACATACCTCTGATATCTGCAAGGATATGTTTTGGATCTGCAAACGACTTCTATCTGGAGAGAAATGGAACTTTCAGAAGTAATAATCGACAGATTCCGGTCAGTGTTCTTAGAATTTGTCGTCGCTTGTTTCTATCCCCTAGGTTGGACAGCAGTTTTCAAAGATTCACGGGAGCAATTCGACCACAGGAAAACCAAGCTCATTACATGAACGCTGACGTGACTCTTGCTTGAGAGCGGTGTTGTGTTACAAACGGTTATTTACAAAGGCTTGTATGGGATGTAAACGGTTTTTCTTAAAAGAGAAAAAATGTTATGTTTTTAAATAAAATCGACGTACCTTATTGCCTTGTTGTATTCTTTGTTGTCTGCCCGCGTCTCGGCCCGTTTTGAAGCGTTTTCGGCGAGTTAGCGCTATCTTGGTGTGTTCCACTGCTAAGAGAAAGAAAAGGGGCAAATACATTTTATGGCTGCGAAAAAGTCAAGATAACTTCCTGGTTCAATGACTTATTCATGACAGTGCACCTGCAGCAGTTAAAAAGGATGCCGCGTTCTGAACTGACTAGGCATGCCAAAGTGATACCATTTGTCAATGAAAACGTATATGAAGAGAATACCCTTTTCTGTCAAAAAAGGTCTTTTGACTTTCTTGGTATAGGCCACCGGCACAAAGAGGTCACGTGACCAATGCTTCCTTTAAACAATGAGTTGGAATCTTGCTGATGCCAAAAATTGACAGAGCTCATAAAAATAATCTTACCCGCGAAATTTGAAAGGAAGCTCATTTAAGGGAGATATTTTATGGCACTTTGATTTTTCAACAAAGTAGTGTGATTTGTATTGGCCGCCATGTTGGAGGGCATACTCTTGCCCTCCAACATGGCGGCCAAAACTACTTTTTGTTTATATCCTATTAAACGTGTGATAGTTACGCTCAGATGTGCTGTAAAGGCTACCCCATCATCTTTTCAACATTTTCCTTGAAGTTTAAGTGCAAAATTTGTGTTCAGAAAGAGGTAATTCATAATTTTAAAAATCACATTTTCGGGCCACGTGACCAGCTACGAACTTGCTCATTTTAAGAAAATGGTGGGGGTTTGAAAAACCGAATAACTATTATTTTGTTTAAGATATGACCCCTTAATCGTTTTTCGAAGGCAAAATGATATAACTTTATCATTCATAAAAACCAGGATAAAAACGATGTCACATGACCTCTTAGTGCAAATGTCCTTTGGCTGACAGGTGCAAGCAAAAAATGACATAATAAAAAAATTGAACACACACTGAACAATACTCACACCATAAAACATTCACCTTCCCCTCCCCTAAGCCAACATTAACAATTACTTCTCACTTAGAGCAAAACGTTGGCTTAGGGGAGGGGTAGGTGGGCAGTTTCCTAGAAACATATAATGTTTCGAAATGTTGTTCTTTTACAATATAGTACTCCGAAAAATCTCATTTCACACATATAATTTTTTATGACCTCACACTTAAGGACTCTATTAACAGTATTATAAAAACGCCTAGGATAAGTATTTTTGGGGTAGGGTGTTGACTTGAGTTATCCATGTACTTATGCAAAGACAGGTGTTAATTCGTACATGTATAGAGATTTTAGATTGAGATCTTCAATGCCATGAAAAGTCATTAGCAGTTCATTAGGAAGGACAAACCCCTCCTTCTCAGAGAATTCAGTGAAAATAGCCCAAAATTATCCATTGTTTCAAGTCTTAGCTCTTTGAATTTGATTACTCTGGCAGTACATTCCTTTGTTCTATTCCCGATCCGTACAATTAATTTGGGCGTATAAAGTTGTAGCTCAATTATGCGTGCTTTTTTTATATTGAAACTCACTAGATTATTTACAAACTCCGTTAGAACTCTCATGACAACCGCCTGGATTCTTACTGTGAGTAATCCGGTTGACCTATAATCAATTTCTTGTCTTTGTCTCTCTTTACCATCAAGCTTTAAATCACATTCTTACACAGAATGTTCTAAACACTTGACATTTCTGGAGTTTTGTTTTGTTTGCTTCGTATGTAATTATATTTGGAATTCATGGATGTAGATCAAGCAGTCGAATACCTTTTGCACCTCATCCTGGCACCGACTGTCGTCCACACTCTTCATCTTGGCTAAGACACTGTGGCCGCATCGTTTTGGTACCGCCATTCATATTAACGATTAATCCTTGGTGATTCTTTCCAAATTCTTAACCAAACAGTGTTAGTCAACTAGTTGCTCTAATAACATGTAATAACCTTTGGCTTTTACTTAAAAAAATTGCAATTTTATTTTAAAAAAATCCTGACCTTCGTCGCGTCTAATTTCAAAGCGATTTCTGCAATGCGCATTTCTTTCTATTAGCAAGTGATGACAAATCTAACCCTAAATTTGGAGTAGGATTCGTTGAAAAATCTGTGCGTTCAATATCCCTGATTTTCTTTTTTTCTATTTCCAATATTTTATGTGTCCTAAGGACATATCATGTTGTTATGTCAATTGAAGTATTCAAGATTTACACCATATTACGGAATGAGCATTTTTAACTCCATAGTGAGCAACTCTTTTCTTTTTAAGTGCTATTCATGATGGGACCAATGGAGTACTTATTTTTTAGTTCTCGGCTTATTTTCATTAGTAAAATCCAACTAGTGGTCTATTATCAATGCTGCGTTCTGATTGGTTGAGCCACTACTAGGCTATATGTTATAGCCCACTAGTAGCGAAAAGGTCCGGCTTTTTGGCGGCAAAAAAAGGATTAAAGTCTAGCTTTAACTAGCGAAAAATTGTTTATAGTCTCGATATTTTTGACCAACTAGCTGGATTTTACTGAAACAGTTATTCCTCTCGCCCCCTTGTGGCCTCTGAGTCAATAGCCCATTCGGCCTTCGGCCTCATGGGCTATTGACTCAGCGCTCATTCGGGCTCGAGGAAGAATTGTTAATTACAATACTAATTGAAATACCTAATAAAACAACTAGCCAGACGCGATTGAAAGCAACCATTTCATTTCTAGTTCCCAACGCTTAAAAATTAACAGAAAATCACGATATCAATGTCGATTTGAGACGATTTCTCAATCAAGAAAGCTTTACAATTTTTCACAATTGCCTCTTAACTCTTGCTGATGTTGGTTTGATAGTTCAAAATCTGTCGGAAACGCATTGTACGTGTTTTTTCCTGTTTCTATAGTAAAGTTGATTCTCACTATAAAGGTTCATCACTAACTTTTTTCAGATGTTGTTTGCACATCAAGTCCTTTTCGTTTAACTTTACCAATCGACATTTTCCCGGTGCCATTGTTTACTTGTACATCTGTCGGAAACTGTAGTGCGTTCTTTTCACAATGGTTTCCATTGCTTTGAGCAAAGTTTTTGGGAAGAGTAAAGGTTATCAAAGTCTTTCATGTGATTTTTTAGTACGTGTACCATTTTAAAAGGCCAACGTAAATCCTCAGTAATGATACTAACTTTAGCATCCGACGGAAATGCATTTAGTTTCACACGCTCTTTATTTCTATGTTTGTAAAGTTTACTTTGTTAAGTAAAGGCAGAATGCTTTTACCGACTGTTTCCTCTTCACAACTGTGTGCCTCAAAAGAAACAACATCTGTCACTACTTGCACTGGCAAACGAAAGAAGCGGCAAACGATCCAAGGCAAGCAATATATATCTCAATCATTATAATTAGATGACCACACGAATTTTTCCTGATCTAAGCATTTCCGTAAGAAACGTTGTGACGCATCATATGAATTCCAAAAAATCCATTCTTTCTTGAAGTTGTTCTGTGAGATCATATCCAAAGACGTAACGCATTTCCAAGAATTTTCCTCAGTGTATGAATTTTAAAAGTTCACAGGAAAAATGGAAATTAAAAGGAAAGGTATAGTTATGTCACTTAAGGTTCCTTAATAAGGAAAACTAGTTGTCAACTACGAAAAGTTATTGAAAATTAATTGAAAACCATTCATTTGACATATGACGCTTTTTAATTGAGTGTAAGGCAGTTGGTGATAAATAGCCAGAAGCATACGCATCGCTCTTAGTTTAAATCACTGATTTTTTGAAATTAAGTTTTCCTCAATTAATCAGTGCGCAGCTGGAAAGAAAAGACAAAAGTTTCAGCAAATTTGAAATTATATTCTGTTCTTGAATCTTTTAATTTATCAGTTTCACCGGCTTGTATCATTTTGAATAACTTTCATACTGACAGCGTATGGTTGCAAAGCATTCTCAATATTGTAAAAAGGGCACATTGTTTGAACTATGACGTAAGTTTTCACGCAATTCTGTGGATCGAAGTGCATTACCGCGTGAGGTAATCACTCAAACCACATGACGCAATACAAGGGCGGCCCTCTTCGGAGAAAAGCGTGGCGTGACCTAACAAACAACTGCTGGAGCCGGATAAGACCTGATAACAGGTCCTGACACTTGTCCCGGCGTTCGTATGTTTTTGATCCGATTAATCAACAAATAAATCAATTGAAAATAATTATTCTCATTGATTAAATAAGCGTTGTTATTCTTTATGGCCCTC